ACCCTGAGAAAGGAGCAAACCTGGCGTGTGGAGGACAGTAAAAGATCAGTGGGGCTGAAGAATAGTGGGGAAAACACATGGAAAGATAGTAGAGCTGAGTCACATGGGTCTTTATAAGCCGGAAGGATGCTTTTAAGGTTTATCCTAAGTGAAATAGGAAGCCCTTAAAATGTGGCCTGATTTATATCTTAAAACAATCTATGGCAGCCCAGCCCATGTAGTTCAGTGGTAGAGTGTTGACCTATGAACCAAGAGGTCATGGTTCGATTCCCAGTCGGGGCACCTGCCTGGGTTGCAGGCTCGGCCCTAGGTAGGGGGTGTGCAGGAGGCAGCCCATCAGTGATTCTCATATTGATGTTTTTATCTCTCTCTCTTCCTCTCTGAGATAAAAATATATTTAAAAAACAACAACAATCTATAGCAGGAGCATGAAGACAGACAGAAGGCTAGGGCACAGGTCTGAGTGAGAGAGAACTACTGTCTAGACCAGAGGGTAGTGGTAGAAAGGGAGCTAAGTGGGTTTAATCAAGGTACACTTTAGAAGAAAGATCTGCAAGTATTATAAATGGACTGACTGTGGGGATGAGGAAAAGGAACCAAAGACACCTGGTTGGATGATGGTACCATCTTCCTGAGAAAGGCAAGATCTGGGAAAACATGGTTTGGTTGAAGGATACATGGTTTGGTGGAAAACATGGTTTGATTTTCGAAAAACATGGTTTGGTTGAAGGGTTGAGGAAAACATGGTTTGGAGCTTAGGCAGTGGAAATCAACAGTTCTATTTTGGACATGGTAATTCTGAGCTGCAAATTACACATCTGGCATTGATACAGGGAAGGCAGTTGGTATATGAATCTAGACTAGGGAAATTCGAGGCTAGAGATCCACATTTGGTAATCGTTGGCATACTGATGGCATTCAAGGCTTGGAGTCTGATGTGATGGCCCAGGCCAGGGAGCACGGACTGAGAAGAGAAGAGGGCTGGAGACCAGGCGTTGGCTCACCCCAACTGCAATCTACAATTCATGTTACAGAAATAAACTTGAATCGCATGGCCGCCACACTTTCAAGAGTTTATGAAGACAAGAGATGCACGGAGGTGGAAAGAGACTTCAGGGCTCTTCTCCAGGCAGGCAGCTTTGTAAAAGGTGATTCAGGAAAAGCAGGTCCTTCCTCTACTAACCTGTGTGGGTCTTGGAGCTCTCTATGCACACCTAAGGTTGAGCACACCTAAGGCGGACCCTCAGGAATGTTTCTCTGCCAGGGGGTTTTAATGAGCATTTGTTCCCCATTGGTATGAGGAGGAAGCTCTGTCTCACCTACAAAGTCATAAGCTCTTTTCCCCATGGATTTTCAGCAATTTGGTAAAAAAAAAATACTTCAAATGGTATTTAATCCTTCCTTTAGGCAGGGAATGTTTCCAATGCCCTTCGGGCCATCAAAGGCTAAGAACCTAAGAGTCTCACCTAGAAAGGGGCAGCGGTGAATCAGACACTTGCCAGGAGCTCTTCTCCTTTAGGAAAAGGGTCAAGACATCAGCCTAATGGATGCATGGAACACACTGACAGATCTCAGAGGGGAGGGGGCAGAGAGGAGGACGGGGAGAGATCAAGCAAAGAATATATATGCATATATGCGTAGCTCATGGACACAGACAATAATGTGATGAGGGCCTAGGGGAGGGGCGGGGGCTGTGTGGAGGGAGGCAAAGGGGGATGTGGGAAAAGCTGTAATAGAGTCAACAATAGAAAGAAAAAACAGTTTGGCTTAATATATTTGAATTCTAATGCTATCTTGAAATAATAAATATGTACTGAAGCAAAAAAAAAAGACAGCCTAGAGAAAAAGCTGGGCCCTGGACCAATGCCAGTTAATGGGAGACCTTGAGCAAAGAGGAAGAGTGTTCCTCATCCTTCTTCTGCCTGTAGCAACTGGGCTTTGTCACCGGAGAACAACAGCATTCTTTTTTTTTTTTTTTTAATTCAGGAGATAAAATAAAGCACTGCTCGGAATCATCAGTGAGGAAAAGTCAGAAATATTATGTTCATTCAGCATCTTGTTCAACCTGCACAGCTGTTTTTTGAAAATAAAAGTCTGTTTATATAGATATGATTATTTGCGATTGCCTATGAATATATTGCTTGGGGAGCATGCTGCACAGTTAATATTGCAACAAATTACAGAAATTCTCCCAATAGCAGAGCAAAGAAATCTGTATCCCGATGGGAAGAATTTACGGCAGTGT